TTGAATTATTTAGGCCTTTAAATTCGAATAATAGCTGTTCTACAATTTTCCACATTCAGTTTCTTACATATCACCCTCCCTGAACAAGTGAGAAAACAAAGAAAAAGTCTTATTAGATAAAGAAATGGTTAACACCTTTATGTACAAAATTTTCTAAAGCTTGAAGTTTTCTATTTAAAGGGAGGAATCAAATATGGTGACCCTTAGAATTACTACAGTAAATATTTCTATCAGTCACAATTTAGTCATCACTGAAACTAATTATATTCATTACACTGGTGTCACAGTGATTACGCATTGGGCTAGAAGTTCGAAACCATCAATCTCGCTGCGAAGGAAAGATGAAGCTTTGTACTGTAAACACTGCAGTCTTGGAAACCCACATGGCAGTACTACTCTGTCCTGTAGGGTCGCCATGAGTCAGAATTGACTCGTTGGCAGTGAGTTTTGGAAATCAATTATAAAGCAAGCTAAGTTTCTCTAGTTTCAGGTAAATTTTCAACTCTATTTGTTCCACAGATGACTCATAGACCTTAACAATAAGGATTTTTACTCAAGACTTATTTTCCATAAGTAGGTGACTTTTTATAAAACTAGGCTACAGTGCCCACATCTATCAATAAACCTCCACCCACACACAAACACAAAAATCAAATTAGATTTTCCCCTAAAGCAACAATCTTTAAATTCTAATTTTTCACCAATTGTTTAATTTTCATATCATTGAAAAATAAGCCTTTCACTTGCTATTTCACCACTATCTCAGTTTAAATATCTCATTTTTCATAGAAAAACCTAATTACATGGTTCAGTAAGCTGCCTGTGGTAACACATCATTTTTATTTACATTCAAAAGTTAGACTTTAGGATGGTCTCTCAATTTCAAGCACACTGAGTTTAACAATCCCATCTAGTTTGTTATATTTGTTTCTATTCTTTATATGAAAGAATTCTGAAGTCATTATGTTCTTACTGAGATTTTACAATATGGATTTCTTTCTAAAGTCATAATAAGTATTTAATTTTCCTTCTTAAGGATATAATTATCTTTAAAATCTAACATTTCAGTACATATATATTAGAATCATTTAGATAATCATCACACAATGAAACCTACTATTTTATAGCTTTGGCAAAATAATTCTCTCTAAACCAAAATACAGGAAACTAGTAAGTAGTGGAAGTATGAAAAGAATCACCAAAAAATATTATATACCAAAAGCCTTGAAGCATTTAGATCCCAGTGGCATCAACTTTAGAAACTATTTAGAGTCAGCCACCTTTTCCCACTAGATGCATGTTTTCCCTAAAAGTGGTGTCTCATGAAATTAATTACCCACTGCCATTTGAGTTCATGGAATCTCAGAGTAAGTGACCCTACAGGACAGAGTAGAATCATTCCCTACGAGTTTCTGAGCCTGGAAGTCTTCACAGTGGCACAGCCTTGTCTTTCACCCAGAGTCGCTAGTGGGCTTAACTGCTGACAGGTGGTTAGCAATCCACGGCTTAACCCAATGTGCCATCAGAGTTCCTTGAAATACATACTACAAATCTGGAATGCTGCCAAAGTATGTAAGCCGCCTGTTTTTAAAATCACCAGCATTTTACACTTACATTTAAACAAATCCAAATAATAAAAAATAATTCCTTCTCAACTTAATGATTTCCTATCAATCAGAAATTGGCCAATGACAATGAAAAAATATACAAAAACAGGCTGAAAGCAAGTCAGTGACTGAATTCCCACCGGGGAGATATGGGGTGGGGGGGGTGTGTGTGTGTAATTTCAAGATGATTGATATTTTACCCAAAGAAAATGAATTTTATATTTATAGCAGTTGTTTCTTTATGTTGATTATTATTATTGTGCCTTTCACTGGAGAATTTTTTTAAAAGAAAACAAAAAAGCTCACTGTTTTGATTCTGACACATAATGACCCTACAGGGCAGGGTACAACTGCCCCTTGGGTTTCTTAGACCTATAGGTCGCAACCCCTTTGGGAGTCAAACGACCCTTTCAGAGGGGTCGCCCAATTCAGAACAGCAGCAAAATTATGATGATGAAGTAGCAACGAAAATAATTTTATGGTTAGGGGGGTCACCACAACATAAGGTACTGTATGAAAGGGTGGCAGCATTAGAAAGGTTGAGAAGCACTGTACTAGTGGTTTCAAACTGCTGACCTTGTGGTTAGCAGCCCAATGCATAACCATTACACCGTCAGGGCTCCTCAGAGGTTTAAATTATTGGTTTAAATTATTTTGTTTCATTGTTTCATTGAAGGATAACCAGAAATCAAGCACCTAGTAAGTGTTCAGATTGTAAGATTCACAGTACCATATCCCTAAATATTTTATTGTCTTGATTTTTTAAAATTCAGTCTCGATTCTTTTTAGTAATTAAAAAAAATTGGAAGCTGTCCCTTCTCAGAGTTTGGCTTTGTTACTTTAATTTTCCTTGGTTAGATCTTCAGTATATTTTTCATCCTTTCTCCTCTCTCCTACCTTCCACCTTTCCTGTGACTTATTTAAACTGCTGCCTTCATTTGATCTTTTCACAGCTTTTATAGAAGCTGATAGTTCAGGAAGTCTGTTGTTTTTTAAATAGACTCAAAATTAGCTTTTCCCTCAAACCACTGAGTAAAAAATTGTTGGAGAAAGTTATTCCGAATCTCTAAGTCTCACCCCAAAGTTAATTAATAATTAGAAAGGGGGAAAGACATACACTGGACAAACACTGGAAGACACTATTCTACCTACATGTTCATCGTCACTGTCCTCTGTGTCATCAATACTGGGTCAAACTGACAGGACCTGCCACGACTCATTATTCTTGTCAAAGGTGTTTGATTTTAATGTAATCATGAGGAAACAAGAGGACATGGCCAGAATCCCAGGCAGTTTTCAGGACAACTGAACTGTTTCGTTCCAATAATGTCAACATCATTGAATGACAAAAAAAAAAAGAGAGCGAGAGAGACAGACATGCAACTTTGGGAATGCTCTAAATTAGAGGAGACTGACGAGGCAGGACATTTCAACGTAGTTTTGAATCATGGCAACCCCTATGTGCAGAGTAGAGGCACTCCGGAGGGTTTTCAAAGGCCTAGCCTTTGAGGAACAGATCATCAGGCTTTTCTTCTGAGGACCCACTTGGGCGGATGTGAGCCTTCAACCTGTAGTGCAAACTAAGTAGTCTGGCATTTAACAGCTCACACCAGTCAGGGACTCCTTGGTAAACTAAGAAAGTCAATTTAGTGTGCTACACTAATCTCTAAAATTCAAGAAGAAAACATGGAAAAGCATTTACTAAAGCCAAAAAAGTAATACAATAAATAAGAAATGCCTATACATTAATAATCTTTTTATACGAGATCAGTGTACTTTTAAAAAAAACGAGGTCATTATGTAATGATCAGCATTTCCAAATGTAAATAAATGTTAATCATAAACTAAACAGAAGTGTTCACACCTTGATTTAGAATAAAACCACATACTACAGTACTATGGTCATCTTGTTCATTACTGCTAGCTTAATATCTCTGATTAATGTATTATCTCTGTCTCGATTCCAATTTCCTCATCCTTGCTTTAGTGTAATCTGTCATATGACCCGCCATCTCAGCTTCAAAGTCCTCTCTATTTCATTCAAGTCCTAAGCTCCAGACCAGTTTACTTGTCCTAAAACTCAGGTGATGACTCCAAGCCTTTATCCAAGGTCCTTTCATTTGTACATAAACATCCAACACTAAAAATCTGCTTTAGACTATGGGGTTTGGACCCTTTATCCTCGTCATTTCATGGCTCTGTTTTTTCTAATTTTCTAATTAAGCTGTGTTATTTCTGTAATTCTAAAACATAATTTAAGAAGTCAATCTTGCCTTAATTCTCCCCCCAACCAAAAAAGAACTTAAAACATTAATGAATCTTCATATGAAAACAGCTATGTTGTTAGGTATGTGGAGACACTTTTATACAACCACCGATTGACCAGTAAAGTAAACTCAGGGACCCAGAGTAAATTCTTGTATCTATCAACTAAGTACTCTAAAAAATCCTGGGGAAAAGGTTTCCAGTTGAACAAATGGACCACAAGGTAAACAGCTCAACTGGTCCACCGTGATTTACTGCCCTCTGGCTGTGGAGGCAGGAGATATCACAGATAAGAAAGGAAGACAGGAAGGTAGGAAAGCAGGAAGGAAGGTAGGGGAAAAATGGCTGCAAAGAAAAGCAAGAAAGGTGTCAGGTAGAATTTTATACATAACCCCTTAGACATGTAGAAATTTTTAAAACATCGACTAACGGGCATTACAAAGAGCATCTGAAAATCATCAATCACTAGTTAACAAAATAAAGAGAAGTTTGGAGAAAATAAAAGCTGGCTTTGGAGATTCAGTCAAAAAAGTTAAAATTCTAACCAAAGAATAAAACTTGCATTAGAAAAATTCCATAGCATACTAGATAGAAACAGGTAAAAGGCAAAAGTTTTTACAAGAAAAAGTAAAATTTCCACCAGTCAATATATCAGTTTCCAGATATCAGATGCAAAATTGAGGCAACAGTGGGGCAAATTTTCTGAATCACTTAAATTAATCACATAATTACATAAAATCCAGGCATTTTCAAGGTAAAACTTGTTATGCCCCAAACAGCCTGCATCCTTCGTATTACCCATTCTTCAAAATATCACCGTGTTATTTCCACACAACAGGAGCTGGCTAAGAAAAAATTATGTTCACAGTACTGTGCCTCGCTCATGATTCACAATTCCTTACCATTTAAAAAACGGTAATGCCCAGCCTTACTTTCTACACCACAGACCAAGCACAACAGGCTAGGGAATTTGAAAGAACTGGATGTGGGGTGAGGGTGAGGGTGAGGTGAGCCAATTCAACAAGTGGGCTTTTTCTTTTCAACAACTGCCTTAACCTTTCGGGAATTTTTCATTATTCAAAAGCACACAATGCAAACAATTTTGTAAGAAAAATACAAAACACTTACCCTGGAGCTCATGATGTATTACACCCACTAGGTTGGGTTCGTCACCCCACCAGAATATCCATAACTCTTTGCAACCTGGTTTGACATCACGACGCCATACACACAGCAAGTTGGCTTGCAGGCAGCGGATGAAACTTAACAGGATTGGGTCATCCTGGGCTGGGGCTGAAATGATGGGTCCACAGTCCCCATGCCCTCCAAAATTGTACCTACGCCATTTGATTCCCGTGAGTTCAGCCTGAAAAAAGGACAAGAAAGTGGAATTGTTTTGATAATTATCTCTAATCACAACTCTAAAGAAGCATATTGGTTACAGCAAACATTTACATTGAACTTCTCTTAAGATCCCTCCCAATGAAGCATGTGTGACTCTCCTCTCTGAATTTTGAAGGGAGGGTGGGGGGGGTGACGTGGCAGAATGTTAATTTTTTTCTACATGGCACTTTATATTAAATACCAAAACAAAACACGTAAATAATCATTTCATACTGAATCACTTTATTTACCTAAACCTTTATTTCCTGTAATGTCCTGTCACAAATCTATTTATCATACGATGATTCATTATTGGAGTTATAAATTTTACTCAGAAACCAGGTAAAATAGAGTAAGCTTGCAGGATTAAAATGAAATCACTTCTTTCAGAGGATTTCCTCAATTTCTTTCCATCCAGAAGCTACATTTTAAGTCATTTTTATTCAGAGGAGCAGTTACCATGCAGTGACATGATGCCTCATCATGAATGCCAAAAGGGTATTTATGTAGAAGCTACTAATAAAACCAAGGCAGAGTCATCAGGAATTTATTTATATTATTTAACATGTAACAGACAGAAAAACCTTGTTTCTTTAACAATTCCCTAATGCCATTTGGGTTTTTGTTTAAGCACATTTTAAAACATGGAAACTTTAACAAGACGCGTTAGAAAACAGGCACTTTTATCTGTATTCTATGGTGCACATTTGTGTTTAAGATTCCTTAAAACTGGGGTTAAGGAATGAAACTTCAAAGATGTTTCAACACAAATAAAAGCAGAAGTCCTAAGCTAAGTAGCTGTAAAGAATGAGTTCAAAACTGATAGCAAAATATCATTCTAACCCAAACAGTACATGTTTCCCCTTGTATATTCATTCAGTTCTTACTCCATCTCCTTCCTCCCACCAAACCAATCATTTTCGTCAGCCCGCTGTTTGTTAAAAAGCAAGTATCATGGGGTGGGGGGGGTACTATTTCTCAGTAACACAACTAAAAGCAATATAAAGCACTAAAACAATCAATCACTACAAAGAAGGCATTGAAGAAAAGAATTTCACCTTTCCTCAATGTTGAAGAAAATAATGCCTTCCTTCCAAAACTGGCTAAGAAAATAGTAATATCCAAACTAAAACTGTCTAAAATGGTCACTGATTCTTCCCAATGAGACATGTAAACATCTTCAGTGAAGAGTCTCAGTAAAAGCTAGCATAGTGTTGGCATAAATTAGACTTTCATTTTGCCACTTGCTTTACTCTGATTATCAAAGTAAATCACCTACAAGACAAGCAGAATCATACCAGAAATAATTATTTTCCATAATCCCACCAGAGATAATAACTAGAAATATATTTCTTGTTCTGTTATGCTTTCGGAGTACATGTATATTTTAAGTAAGAACTACACACTGTATGGTGTTAGTTCTGATTTTTCATTTATGTTTTTGTACATTACTAAATATTCTTCAAAAACAATTTTAAATGTTTGCATATAAGTCTACCTATTGTTTGAAGAAAACATAATAACCATCCCACAACAACTGGACAATCGTCCAATTTCCTCATTATGATAACTACGATCACTGGTAAATATCCATGAGCACTGTTATTTACCTGATTATTTCCTTAGGAGACACTACTCGATAACGAATTAACATGATAAATGCTACCAGATTGCTTTTCAGGTTAACAGTCCACCAATACTAGTAACATTCTCCTAAATTACTTCTTTCTTTAAAAAAATACCTGTCAATATAGAATAGAATGGCGTGTCTTTGTACAAATGGATGGTCCTGCTTGCCATAGAAAAATCATCTGAGGCCAGCTTTCCTGGGTTGGAATCTCAGTTCTATTCAGAAGCTCAATAACCTGTATCCCTTAGTTGCCTCATCTATGAAATGAGGATCATAAAGTTGTTGACTGTGTGAGTTAGTGTATGTGAAACACTCAGGACAGGGCCTGGCTCAAGGCAAAAATAAAAAAGATAGCATGGTGAGTAGTAGCAGAGTAGTTCTGCCTTTATCTTTGTCTTTTCATATCCTTTGTCTACTTCTTTATCATACACAGTTGTCTGCAGTGTTTCTTCAAGAGCCATGTGTGTTTTAATCAAGAAAGCTCAACATCAATTTTTAAAATACACATCAAAGAAGGGAACTAAATAAAAAGGGGGTAAAGCCTGAAAAGGTAACTTTTCTTATCACTGAATCTAACGATCGCAGTCTATACCTAAGGACCTTGAGGTAAGAGAAAGAGGGAGTAATAGAGGGGAAAATACACCAATAACTATGAGTCACTAGTACCAAGATCAAGAATATTTTAAAAGTTAAAGAATAAGACACATCACAGATTTAAACATCTGGTGAAGCTGTCCCCAAGAAAATCCACAGAGATATACTCCCTAGAACACTTTCACCTGTAACATCCGGCACGGTTCAGAGGACAAAATCTTTGGCTTTGACTCAAGTCAATGGTTTCTTAATCTCAGCACTTACACTAACTTCCTATCAGTGTTTCCTTGCCCTCCGTGGTAAAGGGAGGCCACTGACACCTGCTCTAAGGTCTTTGGGGGAGTTGTTCTTGAAGGGGTTTCACGCTAACACAAGTGACACAAGAGCAAGGCTTCAAATGTAATCACTTCTTAACTAAGCAAAGAGAACTGGGACATATCCAATCATTTTAAAACAATTATATTCCTGTACTTTTAAGTATGAAACATATATTCAAAAACTTAGCTCTAAATTTTGAATAAATGTTAAATAGAAATGACTTAATGATATTAAAATGGTTTGTCCAAGAAAGAAAAACCCTATCACGAAAGGTATTCAATTAGGTTAAAAAAATGTACTCATTGGCACATTGCAGGAATTGTGCCCCATCTGACCCCATCACACCGGGGTGAAACGCTAAGGATGTGCAATAGAGCAGCCAGGGGAGCAAAGCAATGAAGTCTCCAGAAACTACCAAAAATAGACTTTGGAGCAAGGGCGTGGCGCCCCATCAGACTCAACGGGAAAACATTCCTAAGGGTTAACAAACCGACCTGGAGCTATTCAGAGGCTTTTCATTTTTTTGTCATTGGTTTTTGTTTTGTTGTTGTTGTTTGTCTTCATTTGCTGCTTTGTTTTGCTCTGTCTTGTTTTTGTGATTATTGTCTCTTCATGATTATCTAGGTAACAGGTGGGATAATCAATCCAGAGGCTAAAAGAACGGGACTGACCGTTCCGGGAGGACACGAGAGAGGGGGAGGCAGGGGAAAGGAAGGGGGCTGTCAACCAACCCAGGGAAAGGGAAAAACAAGAGATCTAAAATCGATGGCGAGGAAAGTATAGGATGCCTGGTGGGGCTTGATCAAGGGCAATGTAGCCGAGAGGAATTATTGACACCGAATGAAGGCCAAACGTGATAGTGGGACAAGAGGAAAATAAAAGGAAATAGAGGAAAGAACTAGGAGGCCAAGGGCATTTGCAGAGGTCTAAATACAGGCATGTACATATGTAAATATATTTATATAACAATAAGGAAATAAAGCTACATATGTTACTTATACGTTAAGTATTAAGGTAGCAGATGGGCATCGGTCCTCTACTCGAATACCCTCAATGGAAGAACAACTTGTTCTAAATAACCTGGCATTCCGTGATGCTCACCTTCCCCACATGATCGCTGAAGACAAAATGGGTGCATAAGCAAACGTGGTGAAGAAAGCTGATGGTGCCCAGCTAGCAAAAGATATAGGTCTTAAAGGCTTGAAGATAAACAAGCAGCCATCTAGCTGAGAAGCAACAAAGTCCACATGGAAGAAGCACACCAGCCTGTGTGATCACGAGGTGTCGATGGGATCAGGTATCAGGCATCAAAGACCCAGAACAAAAAATCATATCAATGTGAATGAGAGAGAGCACGGAGTGGAGACCCAAAGTCCATCTGTAGACAATTGGACATCCTCTTACAGAAGGGTCACAGGGAGACACAAACCAACCAGGGTGCAGTGCAGCACCAATGAAACATGCAACTTTGCTCTAGTTCTGTAATGCTTTTCCCCACCCCCCACTATCTTGACCCCAATTCTACCTCACAAATCCAGCTAGACCAGAGCATATACACCGGTAGAGATAAGAGCTGGAAACACAGGGAACCCAGGGCAGATAAACCCCTCAGGACCAATAATGAGAGTAGTGATATCAGGAGGCTAAGGGGAAGGTGGAGGATAGACAACAAAAAAGTGGGTGAAGGGAGACATCTGTCAGTATAAGACATGAAAAAATAATAATTTATAAATTATCAAGGGTTCATGAGAGGGAGGGAGGACGGGAGGGTGCGGGAGGGAAGAAAAAAATGAGAAGCTGATACCAAGGGCTCAAGTAGAAGGAAAATGTTTTGGATATGATGATGGCAACATACGTACAAATGTGCCTGACACAATGGATGTATATATGGATTGTGATAAGAGCTGTACGAGCCCCCAGTAAAATGATTTTTTTAATGTCCTCATTGACCATAACCATGTGTACAGTTAAAAATCAATTCAAATCCAAGTCCTGATGACCCAATTTCTGACTAATGTATTAATATCACCATGGATGTAATAATTTCAAAATTATGAAGCAAACCTTTAAAATAGCCCTAGATGGCAAATGCTTTCACCAACTACAGTGTTTCTCATCATCAAAAAGACAAACTACCAGAATAACAACACAGCTTGATGGACTGCCTTGTGTTTCTATCACTCTCTAATGAAAAACCTTTGTGTTTTCCTCCTCCGACAGATCTCTGCCTTACGTAAGTTCTGGCTTTGAGAGATTTTACTATTATTTCGAGTTTTGAAAATATAGAATTGAAAACCAAAATTAAAATCTGATGTACAATAGCCACCACCACCATTTATTAATTTTTTTTAAAATGATAAACTATTATTATCAAGTTTATTCTGACTCATGTCAACCCTAGAGTTTTTTGAGACTACTGTACATCTTTATGGAAGCAGTTTCATCTTTCTCCTGTGGAACAGCTGATGGGTTTGAACTGCTGGCCCTAGTAGCCCAACACCTAACCCACATAGCACCAGCAAGGCTCTTTAATCATCACCTGCAAAATCAGAAGGGTTAAGTAACTTTCCTAAGCCATCAGCTAGCAAATAGCAGATCCCTAATGTAATTGGACTTAAAGCACACATTCTTTTCACTCTGACATGTTGCTTTACAGGACTTCACACTATTATAAAACAGTACAAAGGAACTGTCATCAACTCAATTTAGCAGTGTCTAGAGTTCATGGCCATACTTTCTAATTCAGGAAAGTTCATGAATCTCTCTTTAGTCTTCCTGAGGCATTCAGAAAAGTCATGTAAGGGTACTCTCACACTATCCCATGAATTAGGAGGCTTTTAACTTCCCCTTGATTAATTATATGGCTACTTTTACATATTACCACTCTGAGACTGTACCTACCACACAGTACCTCTTTAAAAGTACACATATGTGTAACAAACCAAGAATGTAAAAATTCTAATAGGGAGAGAGGCTAGACAATTCTTCTGAGCCAGAGCTGGACTCTGCTGTCAAAGTTCCCAGGAAACTGAACCAGGATAAAGGCACTTCCTAACAGCATAAATGTGATTTAAATAAAATCTGTATCGACTCTACTGTTCATGTACTCACTCACTGCCATCGAGTCAATGATGACTTATAGCGATGCCCTGTGGGTTTCGGAGAATGTAACTTTTTATTGGAATACAAAGTCCAGTCTTTCTCCTGAGGAGCTGCTGGTGGTTTTGAACTGCCGACCATGCAGATCGCAGCCCAATGCATAACCTCTACACAACCAAGGCTCCTCTCTTTATATACAGTATGTAGAAGACGAGCTGGTAAATTCTCCCAGTGGAAATAATTTACTTGCA